ACTTCCCCCTTCCTTAATCCTTACCATGTCATCATCTTCTGCCTCCCGCAAGCTTCTACAAAGTCTCTCCTCCACCGACAACAACAGCCATACCACCTCATGCATTTCACCTATTTCTAGCTTCACTGTTCTCAGGATTGTTTCTATTCTAACTCCTCCCAGTTTCAACGTTATTGCACTGAGATTGGACAAATCCAAATCTCCCAGGACTCCTCCGCACAAAGCTGTGATTTTCTTGAAGTTGTTGGGTAACCAAAGATGAAATGGGAGCCCTAGCACTTTTAGGCGGAATATTTCTGTCAGATTTACACGATTTGCACTTGAACACCACTGACTAATCACCATTACTCCTTCAGACGTTTGGATGGGAAACACATGTATTTCTTCCACAAGGTTGTCTACTTCTAACAACGCCTTGTCTTCTTGAAACGGTTGAAGATAGAAGCACCCCTCCACTTTCAGCTTTCGTTTAATCTCCTCTACAACACAACCCCACCTAGGCACCTACTTACTCTTTTGTTTGCAAGTATCACATTTTTTATGCCAGTTCTGATAGGTTGGACCTTCACTTTCTAGAGCTTCCTTATTACCGTCTATAGCTGATTGATTTTCCGATGCTTGGTTGGGTTGGATATCTCTTGGTTTTCCTTCATTCCTCCATAAGAAGTTGTGCAACTCCCTTACAAACAGTACCCACCCCTTGCTCTGTTTTCCCATAGGGACACAAATCATCTGTTTTCTACCTTCACCAAACCATTCTGAGACTGTGACAAACCAGCCCTTTCTATTGAATCGTAGCTCTTCTACGAATACCTTTCCGTTTATCTTTATCGAGTTCTTCCAGGCCTATGACTTCCTCAAGACTAAAGCTACATCCAGGAATTCTTTCAGCCAAGCTGCTACCTCCTTTTGAAGATACACCATGGCTCTTTTTTTATCAGAATAGTTGTCAAGGCACCGCCTAGGCGACTAGGCGCCCTTGGTTGGGCACCTCGCCCAAACGCCTTGACTTTTAGCAACTAGGTGCCTGCCTAGGCGACAAAAATGACAAGGCAGGCACCTTTATAATATCATTTATATTGTTGTATCTTATTAATGTATGTGTTAAAATACATTTTATTATATATATATATATATATATATATATATATATATACACACACACACACACTTCTTTTTTTTTTTTTTGATCAATAACACTTTCATTAATTCATCACTAGAAAATTTACAAGTGGAAGACAAACACACTTATCTTCCAAGAGTCGCAAAGAACTTCAAGAAAGGAAAGAAGAAAATACAAAGATACAAGGACACTAACATTACAACTTAGCCCAAAACAAGGAATCCCTTTCTGCCCCTTGTTTTGCTAAACCGTCAGCTAGGGAATTAGCTGATCTCTTAATCCAACATGTCTTAACTTCCATCTCCCGCACCAGCCATTTGAATTTCCTCTTCTCATTGTTATACTTCCAAAGATCATTTTGTTCTTTGGTCAGCCATCCTATCACCACCTTTGAATCTCGTTCAATTATAAGTTTCTTGATGTTCAATTCCTTCGCTTTCCGGGCTCCTTCCATAACTGCACACTTCTTTTAATGTTTTACTATTGAAATTTGAAAGAACAAAGGATTTTGAGGAGAGAAAAAGAAAGAAAGAATAGAATTATAAAGAGGCTCTGTTTTTTTTCTATTCTCTCTCTCTAATTAAATAAAACAGAAACCCCATCCTTGTTTTTTCTATTTTACTTTCCATCTTGAATATTTATCATATAAAGTTGACCTTCTTTAGCTGCTAATTCATGTGACATTCTCTATTAAATCCTTATTATAGCAGTATTATTTTTGAAAATAAGTAAATTAATATATGTAAAAGATTTTTATCTTTTAGATGTGATGATTTGCCACATTTTTAGAGGAAATTTAATGTTCTTAATAAAGAGAATTGCTATTTTTTCAATTAATATACATGCTGAATGGTATATAAAACTAGGGAACTAGCCAAAAATTAGATTTTTATACTATAAACTTTTTATCGCCTAGACGCCCCAATGTCGCCTAACATCGTCTTAAAAACTATGCTGATCAGTAAACATGTATTTTATTTAAATTTCAGACTGTAAACAGTTTATACAACTTGGTGATGGGACTGATGATCCCTTTAATCACTCTATTCTATCCCTCATTACAATGCAGCCCAAAATAATTGTTGTCTCAATGCCCCCCTGTTTTGCTAAACAATCAGCTAGCCCATTTGCACTCCTTCAGAACGGTGCCAATCGGTCCTAAGAACATACTCAATATCCTCCTTTCAGAATTTTTGAATATTCCTACTCCTGAAAGGCCCGGATTTCCAAAGGAGCTCCCATCAAAATTCAGTTTCACTTTATTGCCTTCTGGTGGTTTCCGCTCCAGCCTTACTTTATCTCTTACTCTCAATGACTGTGCTACTTTAGACCAGGTTCTTACAATGAGTCAATGACTGTGATTGAGAAGACTTGAAAGCTATCCAAGGATTTTACCCAATGAGCTACTTTCACCTTGATGCTATCAATCACTTCCTCTACTGTTCTGTTTTTTTCCAAGAAAATCCTGTTATTCCTTTCTTCCCATACTACCCAACAAATTGTTGCCTTTGTTGCTTTCCACATTACCATCTCTCTTTTCTTTTGTTGTCAAATTCGAAGAATTTGAAGCACAAATTCCCAAATTCAAAGCACAAAAGAATAGGAATAGGATATCATTAAATGAGATAGGGTCTCACCACTTGCACAAAGAGCACACATGAGGAGAAAGGCAAATGTATGGCCTTCTTCTTTGTAGCATATCACAAGTGTTTACCTTACCAAGGAATATTTCCTAGCAAAAGGCTTGAATCTTCAAGGGAGTAAGCGTGCACCAAATTTCTTTCACAAAGAAATCCCCACCTAGGGGGTTGGGGGTACTCTGAAGAAAGAAGAGCAAGAAAAGAGACCGTGTGGAGAGCCTACCCAGATTCTAGAATCTTCCAGCGAAGGGTCCAAGTGGATTTGCCCTAGAAGGTCCAACAATAGGATTAAAGACTCACACTCATTTTCCCTTAGTCCCCTCCTAAAGCCCAAGTTCCAATTCACACCATTTGGACACAGTACTCCCAACATGGATATAGCTTCCCCCTTGAGATTTGATGCTGCAAAGAGATCAAGAAATTGGTCTTTAAGTGGGGTTTCCCCTACCCATAGATCTTCCCAAAACAGAATTTTATTCTCTAATCTTCAAGAACACCAGAAACTTTCACTTCTTCGAGTTTGTAAAGTTTTGCTTAAATCAATGCTTCCTTTCTCCACCTTCCCACTACTTCGAATTCGCCCTCCACCATGTTGAACCAGAATTCAAAACTATTCTCAATTTCTTAACAATAAATAGGCCATTGCCTTCTTCATAAGTTGTTCCTTATTGGTACAAGGTGAAGATCAGCACATGAACCATGAGACGGAAGATGGTCTGTGCTTCAAGGCAGCAAGTAAGGAAAGATTTTCTGGAGCTGTATTTTTGGAAGGAAAGTAATGAAAGTTAAGAGAGTTGAAAGAGTTTATCTCTCACCAGGATGTTCACTTGTATCTTCTTTAATTAATGAAAGTTTCTGGTTATTGATCAAAAAAAGAAAGTAGTAAGGATTTTGAAAGACAAACAAAAAGCAGGAAGAGGCATTACGTGGAAATAGGAAATAAATGTGCTAGACTGGATCTTGACCTCACCAGATTTTGCTAATATACAAAAAGATTCATTTGGATCTGATTTTTGGGTCACTTTGGAAAGGTCAGAAGGGTCTTTCTTTTCTGTTTCCTTAAACTTTAACATCCATGTTTTGTTTTGTTTTTTTTTTCTTGTCAGGATGTTACCTCATCATCCTCTTATTTCTGCTGTGTATCTTAAGCTTTTTGTTTTTTTATCAATAATAGAACCAATTCTATTAAAATAAGAAATTTAGTACAAAAAAGGGGGAGGGATAAACACTCTTAGCCCTCCCCATGAGAAAGATTACAGTACAGCCCAAAATAAATCATTCCTTCCCACCCCTTGTTTAGCAAGTGTACCGGCTGCAGAATTTGCTTCTCTTTTGACCAAATTCCTTAAGCTTTTTCTTTAATAAAATTCCATTTTATTTATTATCAACAAAAAAGGCTTGAAGATAAAGGTATATTACCTACTTACTCAAAGGGTTAAAGTTCTCTTCTTTTGTATTTTAAAACAATATGCATACATCCAAACTCCTATCAACAAATGTCCATATCCATATTGGCATGCTTGCTCCTTGTAGCCATGTCCCCCAAATCATAAGATATTACTTGGCTGCAACTTCCAAGGAGACTAAAAAAGGGCAACCCAGTCCACAAGGCTCCCGCCAATGTGGGATCAAGGGAGGAACAGATGTATAGAGCCTTACCCCCTTCACATACAGAGAAGCTGTTTCCAAGATTTGACCCTGGTCACCCAAGCTGCAAAGGAGCAACCCAACCATAGCGCCAAGGCCCACCCTCTTCCAAGGAAACTAAAATGGTTATTTAAAGATTCTTGCCTCAAGACTGTAGTTCTAGTAGAAAAAGAATTGGGGTCTCGTTGAGTCATTTGTTTACAATGCAATTTTATTATGGCACAACAGCATGGGACTGAAAATAAAATGTAAATTCTTCTTTAAATTTGTTATGACTTCTACTTTGCCTCATTTGTTTGTGGTGTAGACAAAGTAAGGTAAAGCCTGAAGCACATGTAACTAAATTTTGCATTCTTCTCATTTGTACTCATATGCATTTGGACTAGTACAAATGAAATTGCACTGCAAAAAAAAAAAGCCCAGGGAACAAGTGGGAATTGCAAGCATTAGAGCCTTAGAGGGCAAACCCACCCAAAACTAGGCAGGATTTCTTTGAAAAGTGTGGAGGGTAAATAATTTAAAGTAAAGATTAACAGAAATAATTAAACTTCCTCAACAAAGAGAAGACATAACAAAGATGCATTACATACCTAACCAACTTGCAAAAGCTAGATACTGCAACCTCTGGGCATGAATTGGAATTTCGTTTGCTATGTCATGATGAATAATAGGAAAAAATGGAGGCCAGTTTTTATCATCTGTGGGGATGCCAACTGCATTGACAAAATCAGAAAGCACACCTTAACTACTATAGAGAAAGATATAGGAGAGAAACTAAGCATGTCTCTATATAATATCACCTTAGGATGTAATTTTAAAGCTTACCTCTAGCAACAGCATCTTCTCTACGTTTTATGTCCTGCCATAGAGGAGCAAATGTTAAATATCATAATAATATTTAAAATAAGTATCCTAAAGGAAAGAAAACATGGAGAAACTCTTATTTATAAAAAGAAAATGTAATTGCAAACAAGCATTTAAAAAACTAGGTCATCAAGATAAAGGATAACCTGCTCCCTCCTTTTCAAATCTGCTTCCCAAGCTGCAAGCTCTTTCTCTCTTTTCTTAGGATCCTGCTAATATCAATATACCTTCCTATAAACAACTCAGCTCTTCAAGGAGTAACTTGAGGATATAATTAATTAATTTATCTCACATTCATAGTATCTAGTGGTATGTCTACAGTTGCATCATGTTTGTGGCCAAAACCCAAGGATTGAGGTAAGAATGAAGGAATCCGTGACTTTGAAGCAGGTGCAGAGCCATTCTGTAAGAGATCACATAAGTGGCATCAAAAAAAGCAATAGAAAACAAATAAATTCATAATCTATGAAGTGCACATTAGAATAATCCTGTAACTTGTAAATGTATAGAAGTAGGGTCAGCAGAAACTCACATCTCATTATTAATTTTCCCATATAGTGATATCTTTGAATAAATCACAGCATCAGATCAACAGCTAAGACAGTAAATTTCAGATGTCACATTATTGTGTCTCACATGCTAGCAATGACAAGTCCTTCACTTATATGTGCAATCCTAACAACATTTCAGGCAAAATCTTCTTATTATCATTCTTTTTCTAGTGAAATCTGTTTTCAGGTCTCATTTCGTATTACAACACAGTAATTAGTGTTTGTAAAGCTTTTTTATATTTATTCATAGTTAAATTCATATGAAAATGCATGCACTTTTATTAAGTAAAGAACAAAATCATGATATGTTTTGCTAAAAATCCTATATTATTTTTTCATATCTGGCCCTTTTATGTTCTTTTGTTTATAGAGCTGTCAATGGGTCAGGTCGGGTCCAGAAAAGGGAGGACCCAATCCCAAAACAAAAAGACAACTATAAAGACCCAGTTCTGAACCAACACCCTATTGGTTCTATAAAACCAGACCAAGAACCAAATTGATTATTAATTGGGCTAACAGGTCAACAATCAAGTTGTTGATGCAAGACAAGTGGACAAGTGGACGTGGAAATGGAGCAAGGATGATCTGATGGACAGTTCTCTATTAAGTCTTTCTTTCTGACACTAAGCAGGAGTTTTTTTTCCAGCTAGACAAATCTGCAACCCAATCGCCTCCTCAAAGTTGAACTTCTTTGTCTGGGCTTCTGTGCTTGGTAAATGTCTGGCCAAGGAAAATTTGTGGAGAAGAAGAGTGCACCTTCAGGACTAGAACTCTGGGCTGTGTGGCCAGGTGGCTGAATCTGTTGACCATTTGCATATTCACTGTCTACTGAGATCTGGTGGCACTTTTTCAGTACAGCTGGGCTAAATTGGCCAATGACGAGGATTGTGAAGGATCTGTTATTGAGTTGGAACCCGCCAGGGCTGAGTAAGAGAGGAAAGTTTGTGTGGAAGGTTATCCCTACTGCGGTAATTGGAACTATCTTGGCAGAGAGAAACAACAGGCTATTCTGCAATAGGAGAAACACTGAAGATCTCATTAGATTTGCATTGGGCAAGGTTCGACCTTGGATTCTGTAACTAAGGAGTTTAAGCCTCAGAATATATTTCTACTGCTAAACTCCGAAAATCAGTGGAACTTGTAGTGTGGCTCTTTGGCTGGGGTGGGATTTGTGTGTGCACTCCTACCCATGAGACCTGTTGAACCGTAATGTCCTTCATTATGCAATAAAATTCTTACCTTACCTTTTCTCAAAAAGTATTTAGCATCTACATTTACCTGTAATATACCAATTTGAAACTTCAATTTTGATAATATAACCTTAATAAAAAGACAGTAAATAGTAAACCTATTTATATGTTAATAAAACAAGTTTTTTTAACTAAAATTATCTTACACACTTAAGAAATTTACCCTTTTAGACATAAAGTATAACAAAAATTACAAGAAAACTATGATAATTTTATATATTATTAAATACATAAAAGGATTGGGTTTTAATCAGCTCAGAACGGTAAAACCTGGTCTTCACCAATTATAATTGGGAGCAAAACCCAGAACCAGAACTGGTATAATTACTTCAGTTTGGTTCAGTTCTATCAGGGCTGTTTGTGAACCTATCAAATATTCCAATGTGAACATGCATAAAGTACCCTCAATTTATAAACCCCTCTTTCTAGACTATTAGCTATTTAGCTGACTGATCTAGGAATACAAAGTGATGAGGTTCACTATAGATGCCAAAGATCTTGCCTCCTTTGATCTAATGAGATAGCATCCAAAGTCCTCCTTTCCTCCCTCTGATCCTCATCCAATCTATCATCATTTGTGGAAAATAGTTGCTATTAAAGTGAACATTGTTGACCCAATATGAGATATCTTAAGAAATTCAGAACTTTTATTTCAATAGCAAGTAAAACACCATGACTACAAAACGCTTACACCAATGCCAGAGCTAAAACTATTTTCTGCTATGGTCTAGACCGGTTCCACCTAAAATTATTATTTTCTGCTGGGAGGTGTTTTATAGAAAGATTAATACCTTGGACTGCTTGCAGAAGAAAAGGCCTTCCTCGTGTTTGTCCCCTAACTGGTGTGTACTCTGTAGGGCTAGTGGTGAGGATTGCTCCCACTTACTTGTATCTTGTTCCTTTTCGACTGCTATTTGGAGTTGGATTTTTTCTTTGTTTGGGTGTAGGTGGAATCTGTCCACAGACTTAAGTCAGTTGTTCAATCCTTCCTTTTTTGTGTGGCCTACATAAAAAGGAAAAATGATGCGGAGATGTATTAGAACAACCGCCTTGTGGACAATCTGGGAAGAAAGGAATGCAAGGGTATTCAAGGAAAAGGAAAGAAGCATTCAAGCTGTTGAGGACTGTATCTTGACTAGGGCAATTCATTGGTTAAGAACAATGGACTTATTTCATACATTCTCCTTTGATGATATTTGGACAAACTGGATAGCGGTGGCTAACAACCATACAAGGAAGGACAGGGAATCAGTAGTGTGGAGGCCTCTGCCTGAAGGATGGACAAAACTGAACTTTGATGGAAGCAGCCAAGGAAACCCAGGCCCATCGGGGATAGGAGGGGTGCTGAGAGATAAGGAGAGAAACATCTTAGCATTGTTTTCAGGCCCTGTGGGAATAGGAGACTCCAATAGAGCTGAGATTTTAGCGGTGGTACAAGGTATTCAGATTGCAGAGCAATTAGGAGTTCAGCACTTGGTAGTTGAAGGAGACTCTAAGATTGTTGTGGGATGGCTGACAGACCCAGCTTCAGCTATGCGGCAACACAGAGACCTGTCAAGGAAAGTCAACTAGCTCACAAGAAACATGACTGTTACCTCTCTTTGGGTGGGAAGATCAGCAAATACCTTAGCAGATGGGTTAGCTAAGCAAGGGGCTTCAAGGAAACATTTATTTTGGGCTGCTCTGTAATTTTATTTCTGGGTATTTCTGTTTTTTAATTTGATGTAATACTTGCTAGAAGAGGTAACAACTCGTACCTCCTCTTGGGTCTCCTGTATTGCCTCATATTTCTGGATTAATAAATTATCTTCATTCATCAAAAAAATGTCAGAGCTAAAACTGATGAGAAATCATTGTGATTCATGGACTCTCCTAAGTCCTAAATGGACAACATGTCCATGTTGGACATCAGTCAGAGTCCAACACTCTATGGCTTCTTGAGGAAACTTTTATAAAACATTTCATTTTCATCTCCAAGCTTATTTGACAAAAATGAACAACTAGGGTATAACATAAATGCCATATTAAATCAACACTTAACACCCCTTTTTTTGCAGATATATCCATTTCCTTTGTATCCCCAAAAAAATATGGATCATCTTAATAATAGTATATACCTTTCCATAGAATACCCCTGAGTCCATGTTTTCTCATCCTGCCAAGGCAGGCTCTTGGATATGTATTGGAATTTGGATACAACTCCCATATCCCATGTCTATGCCCATGCAACACTGTGGCTGCATAGTTAAGTTTCATTCTTTCTAGAAAGTTGTTTTAATTACGGTTTTAATCCTGTAATCTATACTATATGTTATAGCGGGAGAAGATTACATGGCTCCCCCTATGATTTTTAATAATGCTCTCAAAAAAAAATTGTGAAATTCAATCCATGCATGAGATTAGGTATGTGTTCCCTCTCCTTTTTCCATATTTTTATTTTTTCTCATTTGTCATTTTTTCTAGCACATAACCACTCACTACAGTCCACCAGTCCCCTGACTTGATTCCCAAGTACTAAAACTCCTACTTTATCTCTTCCACTCCATTCTCATTCTGGAAATTTCTCTCTCCTATATCTCTTATTTTTCCTCTCCTACCCCAAGAACCCCAACTCTTATGCTGTTTTTTTCCTGTTATCCATACAGTTGTTGTACAACTGTACATATGCACAGGCTCTCCTACTAGTCAACAGTTTAACACTGATGGTAAAATCACAATTTACTAGTTTTAGTAATTTCTTGTTTGTTTAGAATTTAGATTAGGACTGGATGCAGTTCATACTTGCTGTAAAGGGATGTGTTATATTAGAAGTTTCTTAGGTGTTAAGAAATCTAGTTTTATGAAACAAGCTCACCATCATTAAGCATTTGATTTTGTTAATGAAAGACTGTTTCGAGTTTAGTCAGAGCAATCAATTACCTTACATTTTAGGAATTCAAAGCTAAATTTCAATAGAAAATCTTCAAATTGGGAGAGAAATTATTCCTTCATAAATAGAGACTGTTTTAACACATCAACAATTGTTCAGTAAAGCTTATCTTCAGGCTTCAAGCTTTTGATGTTCAATGCAGAGTAAAACATACAACGGGAGGTATGACTCTACACATCCTAGTTACATTCCTTATTGCATTCCCTCTTGAGTTTCTGAAAACTTGAACTTTTGTTCTATCCTATAATTGAAATGAAGTTCTACCAACCGGAAAAAAAAAATGAATTGAAGAACTAATCCCCTAGTGTCACAGTCCACTTGCCAAGCAGTTATATCTCTCCACTCCAGTATTTTTATCATACTGCAGTGCTAGTGTGCTACAGCCCTGCTCCAATTTATTGAATGTTTCTTAAGAAGCAATAGCCTTGTTAACATATTAACTACAATTATCTCCCAGTCATTGCATCCCATTACGAAAACAAACTCATAACTTACCCTCAAAATGTCTAACAAAGGGTAAGCAGGAATGTGTATCCTCGCACTAACTCTTATTGTTAATTCTCTACTAAAATACCTAAACAGAACACTTATTCATATAATCATTCGAGAACCTAACACGCAATAGCAAATGAAAAACACTCTTAAAGTCCAAGGAGTGTGATAATCAAGAAGAACCAAGTGGACGGCGAAGACTGAGATATGTTGAAAGTTTTCAACTACATTCACAATAGTTACTTACAAAATACTCCTAATGGTTACAATTCCACAATTCTAGAGTACATAGAACTTCCCACGTCTATTAACCCTCTTTCTTCTCTTAGCCACCTTTTTTCCTAAACACCAGATCCATAAACTATGAATTATTCAGTCCATTTCCAGTCCACTTTAACTTTCTGAGAGAGACAAAACTCAACGAAACTATAATTTCATGGAGCCTTTACACAGCCACGTTTTGAAACCCAGATCTAACCATATTTCATGCTCAAAAGCCAAAAGACTCTATCAAAATAATGACCAGTAGCAACAGTGCACAGATCAAACAGACACGGAGTGCCAATGCAGAATTGCAAAACTGAAGATTAGGGTACAACTAAAGGAATTTAAAAAACGAAGTACTGATAGATAGACAGAAACAGAGAGAGATTCCAAGGTGGTTACCGCGAACGGATTGACCTCTTCTTCCTCAAAGGGATTCGGATCGTCTCGACGATTCATTCCTTACCCGATTTTGGAAAATAGAACTCCGTATAAAGTGCCGCAAGAACACAGAGAAATTTGCCTTTTTCTCTCACACACCCTATCACTTTTTTGAGTTCAAAACGACGATAAAACGTGTAACAATGAGTTGGTTACCCGGCTTCTACACAACGCGGGATATCTCAAAGAAAAAAGGGAAAAATACGGATAAGCTCATTTCAGAATTCTGAAATCCAGGCCAGCCCATTGAGAAGCTAAAATGGCATTTAAATTTAACTTTTTCAATATTAAGACAGATCCCTACGTCCGTTCAGATTTCCCTTATTTTTTTAAGGATAAATTATAAAGACCCCTTGTACTATGGGTCAGTGATAAAGTCCCCTGTATTTTTTTTTGTGACAAAGATCCCTAAACTTTAGATGTTAGCCCTTCTATTAATATTCTGTCAATTAATTTTGAAAAAAAATTCATCCGACTGTTAATAATTTTTTAAATATCCAAATTACCTTTTTTACTGTTCATTGTCTTCTCCAAACTCAGTTTCTCAACAGTCCATTTGTTATTTGTATTAAGCTTTGCGTCCTCTGTTGATTGGCCTGGATTTTAGAATTCTGAAATGGGCTTATCCGTACTTTTCCCTTTAATCTATTGTAGGATTCTGGTTTTTAAGCATTGTTTGAATTTTTGAGATATTACAACTGCCACCAAGCTTGTATTTTCTTCATCTCAACTTCCTCAAGAGTCATTATCTCTAGATATCATAGCTTTGGAGGAGAGTCCTGTAGTTCCAACTAAGCCTCTGACCATCAGGACATCAAGTTCCTGCAGCAGCCAATCAAGTAGTAAGAAATCTCTCCCTGTTATCTCCTTCCGATTTGCTTTAACAATGCCTAAAGAGCTCAATTGAATCATCCCTATTGAATTCCCCATCCCTCATCTCCCCACCATCATCAGCATTCGTTTCAGCTTTACAATCACCTTACATATCTCCAAGGGCCTTGCTTCCACCACCCCCAGAAAACGCGACTCCATCTACTACACCAGAAAACGTGACTCCATCTACTACGCCAGAAAACCCAACTCCAACAACACATCCATCTCCTCCGGTTTCTTACTGTGGCTCTGTATCTGATGACTCCAAGCTCTTCCTACACCCCTCCACCAGAAAGATTGGATTTCTGCAATGACCCATCTGATCAAAAGCTTAAAATTGTGACTTGTGCTCTAGTTCCTGATACTGCACCTCCCCGAAATCTCATTTACCTTCCCTGTCCCTCGGATTTCCTTTGCGAAAACCTCCGTTTCTAACTCTCCTAATGCAAAACTCAGGAGCTGTGATGTTTATACAGGCTTCCATGGCCAGAATCCCAATCTGATACGCTTCTGTAGCTTAGCTCCAGGGAATAGCTTGTTTTGTTGCAGACAGAGCTAAATATTCAAATACTCAGAGCCATGAGATTGCTGATAGAATTATTTGCTCAGCCACTTATGGTGTTGTGGTTGTCACGAGTTCAAGCTTTCTCAATCTGTGAAAAATCAATTCCGTCGAACCCAATTCAACCACATCATTGGCCAAAGGTATACACACCATCGTCCGCAAGCCAAAAATTTGACCTTGTCTCGCCCGCTCACAAGCCTCTCACCCCCGGCAAGCCACGTCGGAGACGACGCGAAGAAAGCCTGACCAGGAAGGCCACTATCGTTGATGAACGACTGCGTCATCGACACAAGAAAGAACCACTCGGTGTCCGTAACCTCTTCATCAACGGGATCGTCTGCAGACGTCGGAACCCCGGAAATTAACGAATTAAGCCATTTGACCTAGGAATCTGAGGCAGAGGGGATTACTGCCGGTCCGCCGCTGTTGTTAGTGTATGTGAGGTAGGGAAGATGAACAGTGTTTTTCTTGTCTAGGTTATTACAAGGGATCGTAACGGCTTTGATAGACGAAAGGATAACGGAAAGGGGTCTTTGTCTCATGGTCATAGTACGGAGGGTCTTTGTATAAGGGATCTTTGTCACAGACCCCATGGTATAGGGGGGTCTTTATCATTTACCCAAAAATAAAAGGAATTTCACGATAATGCTCACAATCTCCCCCCACTCCAACGAGAAATCTCTTAAATTACTCCTATTATTTGCAAAATTCCTTATTATGAGATTGTCTAACTCTATCCCTATCTATACTTGTTATATAAAATTGTGAATGTAATATGAAATTTTTTTTTGGATAGCTTTAATGGCTACTAAAATACATACATATATATATATATATATGTATGTGTGTGTATTTAATACATCTCTAATTATAAGGGTTGAAAATGTAATTTCAATTATTATTTTTCACCTCATTTAATACCCTCTCATTAAGTCTTATACTTAAGGTATTAAATCCTATATGTTTAAGTTATTTTTCACTAATAAATGCTACTAATTAGATTTATGTCAATATTTTTAACAATATAAATCCATATATTTTAAAATTAACTAAAAAGCAGTACCATTTTTTATCTAAGTGTTGGCTAAGTAATTCAACCATCTGAATCAAAATAATCAACCTATGAAGTCATAGTTGGTTAATAAACTTTTTAAAATATAAATAAAAATATAAAAATACAAAAAATATAGAAAAAATTAGACACATTTATGATATTTTTATTAATCAAATTAAAAAATAAGTGTAATTAGGGGTGGATTCAAGCCAAGTTGAGCTGAATAGCTAGATATTTGAGCTCAGCTCACTAAGGTAGTATGAGGCTCGAGTCAAAAGCTTATAAGCTCGAGCTCGACTTGAGAAAAATGTTTTATAAAAATAAAAAAATTAATATAGAAAATATTTTTATTTGATATTTAAAAAATTAAGAATTATAATAATTAGTTATTATTATTATATATAAAAATAAAAATGTTATATCTATAATATTTTTATTATATATATATATATTATTTTCTATAATTATATTATTATTATTATTAAAAAATGTATGTAGTTATTCGAGCTCGACTCGTGGCCACCCCTAAGTGTAATAAACAATAATTATTTTTATTGATAATGAAAATGAAATAAATAATTTAGAACTAACAAAAAGTGAAGTATAAAAACTGATAATAAATAGTTCAACTTTTGGGTTAAATGTGTTAACTTTTAATGCAATAAATAAATAATAAATATTAATAAAATATTAAAATACATAAATTTTGAAAAAAAACATTCAGGCACATGTATAATATCACATATTTATCATATTAAATAAAAAGTATGTGCGATATATTAAAATTATTTTCACACACAGAAATACAAAAAATAGTAGAAAAAATTGAATACATCTATAATTCTACATTTACACTATTATTAAAATATGAATAACATTATGGAACTTTCTTTTGATTAAAATACTGGTTTTTTAATTTAGTCCCAATTTAATTATAAATTAAACTACTAATTTTTACCTCATTTAATTCCTTCTATTTAAATCTTACATTTTTTTATAAATGAACAGAATAAAAAATATACACCAAAAAGATAAAACACTACAAAAAGAAGAGTCTAGCCAAGCTGGTAGGATTGCCAATGATACTTGAAACTTCACAACTTGACCCGATTATCACATATTTGGATGAGGTGTTTATATAATCAGATTTGGATTTTGTGATTTATATCAAATTAATAATAAAAACAAAAATATAAAAATGAAAAATAAAAATACATAAAAATTTATAGGAAATGTTGGATATATTATTACTATCTTTATCATCGTTTAGAATTACCACGTGCATGCTTACTAGTTGTTAGAAATGTCCCATTGGTTTGCATATGATAGTGCATGACTATTAAAACATTTTTAAGACCCAAATTTGTTGTTAGCTACAAGATATGGTTGGTAGTTTGATTGGCACCCAAAATTGAGTAGCCCCAAACGAGACGCAATTTCGAGCCTTGCTATGTTGGAGAATTGAATTACAGCCCCTTTGGGGGCAAAGACAAGTAACCAATACCAAAAATAAAATAAATTAATCGTCGTTAGTCTCTTACCAAAAAAAAAATCGTTGTTAGTCTTTGACCATGTTCTATTAAACTAGCTTTCTCTCTCTCTCTCTCTTTGTTTTTTGTCCCGTTCAATAGGGTGGATTCAAGCCAAACCGAGCCAAATATTTGGCTATTCGAGCTCGGCTTGTAGGAGTAGTATCAAGGTCGAGCTCTATTCGAGGTAGAGAATTGAGCTCAAGCTTAGCTTGATTCATAGCTCGCAAGTTCAAGCTTGGCTCGGCTCGAGCTCGACTATAAGTCAAGTTTTTTTTTTGAAAAATAAAAATTATATGTATAAAATTACTTTTTATTTTTCAGAAAGAAAATTAAAAATTATAAAAATTATTTACTACTATACATAAAATATAAAAATACTATATTAATAAAAGTATTATTATATATATATAATAAAATTATTATTATAAATGTATGTATATATAATAAAAATTTATTATTTAATAGTAGGCTCGTGAGCCTCATGAGGTGAGCTTCATTGGGCTCGAACTCGACTCGATTAGCAAACGAGCCTATTTATCAATCTTGAATTCAGCTCGAAGCTCGGTTTAAACTAAGCCGAACCAAATTTTTCACGAGCCAAACTCAAATAACTCATAAAAGACTCAGCTCGTGGCCACCCCAACCACTCTACTGTCTCTCTCTCTCTTATACTATCAACAATGGAACTACTATTTGGTTGAACTAGGGAAGGCTTAGGTCATCCCATGCCCAACCCTAAATATGAAATCCAAGGCTCCATCCTTGGTTTTAATCAAACCATGCTAAAATGTCAAATATGATGACCTTGTGGACTCTCCAATAAGTTAGGTGGAACCTTTTGGTAGTGTTGGCTGAACTAGGCATTTTAAGCTTTTCCAATTCTTAGTCATTTGACAATTTTTTACAAGTTAAACGATCTAATCTTGAGCTTTCCAATTTTTTGTCCTATCGAACTCTCTCTCTCAAACACAGTTAAAATTTCATATTTTTTTAATTTTCCTTCTTTTAAACCGAAAAAACTTAAATCTAATTGACATTATCGACAATGGCTCTACTATTTGGTTGGGCTAGGCAAGGCTTAGCCACGCCGAACCCTAAATATGAAAACTAGGGCACGGTCCTGGGGTTTTAGTGAGACCGAGCTAAAATGTCAAACCTGACCTTACTGGCTTGAACCTAGCCTGACCTAGGCTAGGGTTAAGTGCAATTGAGGCCTAGCATATGTAATTAATTTTAC